TAAGGTATATTCATTGCCATTGGTTGACATATCTTTTGACTCTTTTTTGAAGACTATAGGTGCCCTCTCCTTTCTCTACTCCCTACTCCCAGCCACTGGCCTCAACACACCCGACTTATGTATGAAATAAATTGGGCTGTTTGTCTTGAGTGTTTCCTACATCTATATTTGCACATTAAAGCCCCATTATGTCATTTAACATATTTCTCTGTCCCCTTGTATTTCCCATAAAGTGATACTTAGATCTAGAAGCTTGATTAGATTTAGGTAAATTTTTTTTTTTGAGAGAAGCCTTCATAGGTATTGCTATATATTTCCATACATAATAAGGCACATAATGTTTAGTTGATTCTTGCCAGTATGCTCTTACAATGATAAAAGGTGTTCGATAAATGATTGTTAAATGATAAATGAATAAATCTGTGAAGGTAAACATTAAGAACAGATGTAGTATTTATCAGCAATTTATTTAAGCCCTTGGTTTCTAACTTACTGATCCTCTGCACACATAAAAATATACAGCATAGTGTTTAATTTGTTGGTGTGTATGGATCAGAGGAAGATTCAAACACAAAAACTGGATTGACACAGATTAATGGTTGCCAAGGGTTGAGGGGAGAGGGGATGTGATTGCTAATGGGCGTGGGTTTTATTTTTTTATTTTTTAATATTTGTTTTGAGACAGAGTCTCACTCTGTTGCCCGGGCTAGAGCACCATGGCATCACCCTAGCTCACAGCAACCTCGAACTCCTGGGCTCAAGCGATCCTCCTGCCTCAGCCTCCCGAGTAGCTGGGACTACACAATGAGCTGTGATGATGCCACTGCACTCTAGCCTGGGTGCCAGAGCGAGACTGTGTCTAAAAAAATTAATTTAAAAATAGAAGGCCGTGAGTTAGAAATTATTTTCATTCTTTTAAAAAAAAATTGACAGCTGGAGTTAAACTCTATTATTTTCAGTGTATTTTTCTAATAGACATCTGGAATAAACAGAATTATCATTTCTTCAAACAAAGGGCCAGTTTCTTGTGAAAGTATAATTAATTACTATTGTTCCAACCAGAGAATTGGCCAGTATATAAATATTTTCACAGAAAACTTAAACATTTCTCGTTTCCAGACGCAAACGGGGACAACATATTCAAATTCCTCCACAGGCTTTTTTATCAGGTCGTGTGCAAATTATCTCAGTATCTGGCGCTTGTACCCTGGCCCCTGGCTGTAAACATGGCATTTCTCCCGATGAAGTGATATCCTGTCCTAAAAGGACTGTGATTCCCAAGATCATTTTGGTTGATTGCCTTTGGTTTTTTTTAGTTCAAGCGTACAAACTAAGTATAAATCTTTAAAGTTCGTGGGAACAGAAGACTAAAGAGTGTGTGTCCTCCGGATGGGGAGGAGGCAGCTTTGACAGACAGCGCCGTGCAGAGAGTTAGCACAACCTACATAGCAGCCTGTCATGGGGAAGGAAACAAAACAGGTAAAAACCATATGATTCATGACTACAACTCACTTGGTAAAGGAGAAGATGAATACTGCAAAAGTATCTGTGGAAACCTATCTCTGCGATTAGGTCCTTCTTGACTTCAAGCTCATGCTGGCAACTGAAGTCCGTGCGTGTCTGATGGAAACGCATTCCCGGGAGGGTGCCGTTGAGAACATGGCTTCGTGGTCATGAGCATGTGCTCTGGAAGAGGTTGTGACATTTGTTGCCCTGGATGAATTACAGCTATGTGTTTATCGTGGGGCCCCTGACTACAGATTAACTTCCTGCCCTTCTGCAGCCAGATGGAAGGCTCCATGTCTAGGGGGTACGTGGTCTCCATGTTCAACAGCTGCGGAGTTGCAGGCAGGCTGAGCTTGCTTCATGCAGTTTTGAGAACGCTCATTCCCGGCAGAGACGGTGAAACACAAACACATTTATCTACTCCCTGCCCTGCTCCCAACTACAACACAACAAAATGAAACACAAGCCCGAGGGCATGAATATAAATAGCCCTTAGAAATGACCAGAACCAGGAACTTGAACAGGGCTGGGACGTCTGCTGTTGGCCACGTTTGTTCTTTTTAATTGCCGACTGGCTTTTCCGAATCAGGCTCTGGGTAAGCCCTGTTCATGTAACATGACAGAATTCCTCTCTACAGGCTGGAGCAGAAACTGGACTTTCGACCTGTGGTAAGCACAGGCTTGCCTGGCACGTGGGGGAAGCATGATGAAGAATGCTGAATGGCCCCACTGTGTCCCTTGGTCCTTCACCATTGGCTTAGTAGGAAGCCGGGATCTTAGCTGTGTGTTTATGGCTTCCCAGTATCAGTACTGCCCTGATACTGCTGGAATCAGCTCCCCTACTGCGCCCTTTGACCCTTCACAGGTGCGAACCTGCTCCCCCATGTCAAGGTAGACTCCTGATTCCTTTTAGCTTCCTCCCCACTCCAACCGGGAAACAAAACATGGTGTACATGAGAAACTGTAGCTATGGTGGAAGCTTCCAGAGACTATAACTATTGTGCAAACCTGCCAATTCTTGACCCACAGGGAACAAAGAACATATAATTAAAACATAAAACAGTGAGACACCAAGGCTTGAGGGCATCCTAGGAAAGATAGTATGTAATTTGGTACGCATTAAAACTTAAAAATATTCGTTCAAGATTCTGACCTCGGCC